TTTGCCAAAATTCGGACACTGACTAATTTTGAAAAGATTGTTCCCATCTGCGGTCTCAGTAAATACCCTTACAATACATAGTACCCATAAGTACCGTTACAATAAATAATCGAAAATTAAAGTATCATTGATAACTGGCCATAGCGTTATATTTTTTAAAAAATTAACGCATATCGTAACGCTATTATTTGCGGATTTACATTTAGCGACACGCGCAAACGTTGGCATTCCTATTAAAAATTATGATCTCAGGATTTAATCTTATAAATCAGTAAGTCTACATCCCTAAGTATTGCTACAATGCGAAACGAAAAAATAATATCTACTGATAAACTATGAGACAAACGATTTCTGTTATAAAGACGTTGATGAGATCATACGCAATCTGTAAAAAAAAAGAAAATAAAATAGCACTCTGTTAACATCTCAATGTAGGACAGCATTGAAGCAAATTCTAATTGAATATAATACATAATTATTTGATGATTCTCTAATAATTTTAACTCTACTTAACTTGATATATGGGGGGAGAGAAATTTACTGTAATAAATGACACCAACTTTTACATTAAAGAGGACGCAAATTCGAGTCAAAACGTCAGTGAGTACGTAATTTTATGTAATTATTGTTGAACAATATATTAATTGCACAACAACAACCGCGTCGACTCTCAGCAGTCTTATTTTCTTCTTTATTTATTAGTACAAAGCCTCAGGTTAACTTTAAATATCAAAGAATGACGAGTATAAATCAGGTAATCACTATTTACAACTTTAAGGTTTTATTAACAATTGGTTTGAACATAGAATAATATTTTAACCGAATGGTCCCAAGAAGTACCGCTTGTCGTCTGAAAGCAGTCCTCGTATATACCTTTACAAGAAACAATATTGTCTTTTAATTAGTACGTAAACTGAAGAAGTTTTCAATTTTTATCGATTACTGTCGATTCCAATTGACCAGCGCAGACACATTTACAAGCCGGCTGACACCGAGTAATCGTGCTAACATTATTTCTAGTTAGGATCCCGGAATCACCCTTACAACACAGTACTTGATACCGAAAACTACCGTTACAATGCAGAATAAAAAAGAAAAGTCGGTTACCCACTACGTATAATCGTATCTGCTGTCGGAAGCCCGTTATATAATATCGCCACATATTTACACAACATCCTCGACAAGGCTGTCACTAAACCAAAATCGCATATCAAGGACAGTTGGTCGTTCGTGAAGATCATCAAGGAGTTTAACATCCCTCTGGATCACATTCTTGTATCTCTCGACGTGGTTGCGCTGTTCACGAACATTCCCACAGAGCTCGTTTTAACTGGTATTGAAAAAAGGTGGGATGCAATTTCGAGAAAGACCAAGATGAGCTTGGAGCAATTCTTGTTTGCCATCAAGATGATTTTGAATTCCACCAGTTTCTCCTTTAATGATGAATTTTACGAGCAAATCTTTGGCAGCCCAATGGGCTCCCCTCTCTCTCCGATTTTGGCGGACATCGTCATGGACGATCTCGAAACTTGTTGCCTTCAATCCTTTGACTTTCCGATTGACATATTTTTTCGTTATGTTGATGACATCTTCATGTGTATCCCGAAATCAAAACTTAACGATATTGTGCTCGCTTTTAACAGCTATCATCCTCGTCTAAAATTCACGTACGAGTTGGAAGAAAATAATTGTTTGAATTTTTTAGACACGACCGTATTTAGACAGAATAATTTTTTATTTACTAATTGGTTTCGCAAACCAACGTTTTCAGGCCGTTACATCAATTATTTTTCCAGTTAAAATATAAGATCAATACCATCATAAACCTAGTGGACCACGCAATACTTTTGTCCGATGAACAGTTTCATGATGAGAATATCCGCCTAGTGAAATCTATCCTGTCTAACAATTGCTTCCTTGACTCGATCGTGAATAAACATATACAAAAAAGACTGACGGAAATCAATAAACGTTGGTACAATGGGGATGACGCTGTTGATGACGACAGACA